AAACTATTTTGTGGGATGTGGTCCTCAAGTGCGATGGGAACAGCACAGCTCTGCCTTGCCGCCGACGGGAAGCGTCCTCGCCTCTGCGGCCCGTCCTTCGAGTCGTTCTCGTTGCGGCATAGGAGGTCCGCCGCCGAGCACCGCCGAGGGCTCGTCTCTTGGTGGGCCCGCTTGTTGTGACCCCCGGAATATCAGCATTTGTGCCCGCGGTCCTGCCCCCCCCTACCCCAGGCGAAGTTATATGTCGTTTTGTGTGTGTGTGTGTGTGTGTGTGTGTGTGTGTGTGTGTGCTTTTTTTTTTGTGTGTGTGTGTGTGTGGGGGCCTGGTAGTTGATACATATATATATATATAAATATATATCTATCTATAATTCGTTTTTACATTAGTGGATTGGCAGAGTTTGTTCGATGCGCCATATCGATTGGTCGATATTTTCGGGCTTGTTTTCCTCGAAGCGTTTGGCCAACATATACCCGCCAACCCGCGGGGGCTGGTTTCGCGCCCCATTGGCAGATATTTTGCAGGTGTTTTTTCGGCCTGCGCTGTCAGGGCCCGCCCATGTTTTCAGAGTCGCTTCGCGTGGAGCCGTGTCTCATTGCTCCTTTCGGAGGCCTCTTGGGGCGATCTTGGGGCCAGGGCCGTCTGGGAGCGTCGGGAAGCCGAAAAGGCGAGAATCTTCAAACATATCAGGAGAATCAAAGATTTGGGGGCCTCTTGGGGCGTCGTGGAGGCCTATTGGGCAGTCTGGGGGCCATCTTGAGCGTCTTGGAGCGATCTTTGTGCGTCTCGGGACCTTCTTGGGCCGTCTTGAGAGCCTTTTGAGGTCTTCTTGGCCCGTCTTGTGGCCCTCCTTGGGCCCCAACAGGTCACGCGAGAAGCCGCGGCAAGCCCCCGGCAAGCCGCGCCAAGCCCAAGGAGATTTGTGAATTCGGGGTCCGGGCCTTGTAAGAACCTTCAGGGTGGAGGATTGAGCTCAGGGGATGAGGCAATGGACCTAAGGGCCCCCCCCCGGTCAGCGGCAAGGTGGCAGATTTGCAGGACCCCTTCACAGCGCAGTGCATCTCGCCTTCGTTCTCACTCGCCGTGCCGTAGACAGCCCGCCCGCGCTGGCACCTTGAAAGTCGTAGGTCCGCATGAATGTGGCGGGTGCGTTTTTCACAATGTTCCAGCGAGGTGCCTTCCCAGATATATTTCACCCTCCCACTTGGTGCACCAGCTACACGCATGATGCAGTGTGCTGGTTGCCTCCATCCTTTATGCCCTCCCCTTCCCAAATCTCCTACGTCGTGATTTGCTCATAGTGTGGTTCCCTGGAGGTCTGGACCCCTTTCTGGGCATTCTGTCATCCCGACTCAGTGTTGACGGTCTCACAGCCAAGTAAGGGCCCCTAGATGCCGAAACTTGTAAAACACTTGCCGTCGCGATGGTTTCACGACCCGACGACCTCAGAGCTGTGGAAGCTCCCGACGATCCTCACGCGTGGCGTGCTAATCGGCTGCGCCGTAGCAGCTTCGAGGAGACGCGGCGATGCTCGCAGGTGGCTGGCCGAGAAGGTCGGCTCGTCATCTCAGAAGGCGGCGGCTCTGCAAGGGCTGGTCGGATAAGAGCCAACCTGCGCGAGCACCGCGCTGGCAGAGGGCGGCCCGTCCGTCCGCATGCGGAGCGCGTCCTGCTGCAGCGGCAGAAGAAACACTGGTGCCACTCCTATGGGTGTTTTGCCAGCAGGCTTCTGGCACTGTTCGAAGTGGAGGCTCGTGTTTGCCACACCGCGCCAGTCGCGTTCTCCCCCTTCCGCACCTTCGGTAGCAACTCGTGGGAGCCTGGTATACCCTCTTAGTTTTGTCTTTAGCGTCGATTGGCGTCGATTAGCGTCTGGGCGTCGATGGGATAGCGCCGGTTTAGCGTCGTGTAGCGTCGATTAGCGTCGACTTAGCGTTGACTAGCGTCGATTGGCGTCGACTGGCGTCGATTCGCAAGAGCCGACATATGGGAGGCTCCCATGAGTTGCTACCGAACGCAGCTCATTCTGCTGGCAAGCCTCGTCGGCTCAGAGCATGCGGCCATGTCTTGCCACCCCTCTCGCCAGCATGGTGGATCTTCACAGTCAAGGCGTTGGAATAGGGGGCAGTGTGGGTTCGCAAGGGGCTCTCTGTTCCTGAGATCCTTGCATGGTTGGTTCTGTCGCGCTTCTCATGCACCCAGGCGCCTGTTGGACCCAAGAGGGGCTTCGTTTCTTATTTCGAGTTCCTTATGGTAGTAACTCGACAGCATTGCGCATTCCTGGTGATTGGGTGGCGTCTGGTCATTTCACCCAATGTGCACACTAGGTCCCTTGGAACCGCTGGGTTAATCAGGTTTGTGCGTGCCCTGTCGTCCTATGATTTGTGTAGGTGTCGATCATCGTGTCGCTCTTTTGGCCGAGCGATCTTGACTTACATTTCTGGTGCCTCCGAGGCTTAAGGGGTTCGTTCATGTATGGCAGATATTTTCGTGAGTTTCGTGGGGTTATCATCGCTTCGAAGCGCAACATTGAAGGAACGTGGTTGCACACCCAATGCAGATACCCGATGTAACGCGCATGCCGGCACACTTCCTCAGGCATAATAGTTGTTGGTGGAGCGCGCATGCATGTGTGTGTGTATGTTTGAGAGCGAGAGAGAGAGAGAGAGAGAGAGAGAGAGAGAGGGAGAGAGGGAGGTAGAGAGAGAGAGAGAGAGGGAGACAGAGAGATAGAGAGAGCACCGATTCGGACAGGTGTCTGTCCTGGCCCGCCGGTTATAAGCGATGGCTGGGCCATGCTCGCTCTGGCGGGAGGCGACGCATGTACATAGGGGGGGTGGCGAAGCCTCCCCAATGGCGCGGTCGAAATGGGGACCCCAACTGGGAAAAACCGGAGGGTTGTGGTGATCAGGGTGTGGCACAGCCCTTCTGCGCTCCCGAAGCTGAAAGGCGATTCTGGCTTTTCGCACTGTTTGGCACGTGCTTCTCGGAGCCTTGTGAAGGAAGGCGTCCCTTTTGGGCATCCCCCTCAGCGGCCCAGTGCTGGGACAACGGAGCTGGTTGCCGGGAGCTCTCGCAGGGCACGAATTGTGAAGTGAAGCAGGTAGCCAGCACTGGTGCGCTGGCGTTTAGCGGCAAGTCGCGCATGCATGCTTTCCTGGAGAGTGGCCTCAGGAAGCGCAGGCGTATGGAAGGCCTATTGAAGGTCGTTCCAGGCAGATTGTGCTCGATGGGACCTGTCGAGAGGAAGTGTGGATGTTAGTGTGAGATTGGATGCCCCTTGCTGACTCGCTGTGGTATTTGCAGAGAGAGAGAGAGAGAGAGAGAGAGAGAGAGAGAGAGAGAGAGAGAGAGAGAGAGAGAGAGAGAAAGAGAAAAAGGGAGAGAGAGAGAGAGAGAGGGGGAGAGAAAACGAGAGAGAGAGAGGGAACGAAATCGAGAAATAGACATAGAGATATAACATGCTTGAACTGTCATGTTCCAGCGTGCCGCAGGGGCTTCACCGTGGGCACTTGGGGGGGAGGTTTCGGAAGCGCACCAGTGCAGGTTCGCAGCCGGGATGCCTCTTGCGGCGCGCTGCGGGAACCTCTGGTCCGCGCTGCGCCTTCCAGTCGAGTCCCCGAACGGTCAGAACATCGAGCGTAGCGAGGGGCATGTGCGACGCTGGAATAAGAACCACTGGGGGCTCTGGACGGGTTCTGGGTTTCGGGCCAGGCCGGTCGTCACTCCGGAGGCGAGCCGAGGAGGGAAGTGGGAGGGGAGCAGGCCCTCTCAGAAGGCGGCGGGGCTCTCCCGGAAGCCCTCAGCAGCTCCGGGGAAGGCTCAGAAAGCTTCGCAGAAGGTGCCGTCGGAGGTTGATAGGCCTCCTACCCTGACACGTCGATGAGTGGATTGGCCGTTTTCGGTTCGCGAGAGGGCGTCGCGGCCGCCGTTTTTGCGGGTCCAGGTCCGTCGGTTTCGGTCCCAGGCCGTTTTCACTAAGGGGAGGTCTACTAAAGGGAGGTTTGTCCACCGCCGAGCTGGACCTAAACGGTGTTGTGGCGACTTCGTGGGCCGTTTTCGTTTCGACTTCGCTTTGCGGTAGAAGGCGGATGGAAGACCAAACGAGGGAGAACGAAACCATAACGAAAACGGATAGCGCCGTTTAGCTTCAGCCCTGTTCTAGGCCTCCTGGATGGGGTCGGAGTAGATGGGGTCGGAAGATCCCGCCGCATCACCGATGCATCGGCGATGCGGCTGGATGTGCAGCCCGATTTGCTTCACGTCGACGTTGCCGATGCATCGCCGACGTCGATGATGCATCGCCGGTGCATCGCCGATGCATCCGACGTCGATGATGCATCGCCGGTGCATCGCCGATGCATCGCCGGTGCGTCGCGCATGCATCGCCTATGCATCGGCGAGGCGGCGCG